ACTATCCAAGCACAGGGATTCGGAACCTCCAAAGGGAACCTCCACTTTGGGCACCTGGAAAGAAACCGGCCTCCCCGGAGCCCCACGCGCTGCTGCAGCCGACACTCAGCCCGGACACGAGGCGGGATCTGCTCCGGAGTGGCTCTGGCTCCCGGTTTTCTCCTTGTGGAGCTGAGTGCTTTCCTCACCCTCAAATTGCTGGGATTTTTTTAATGACATTATTTTTACCTTACCGCAAGAAAAGGCCGCTCCCAAGAGCCAGCTGAGTGCATCAAACCATTAGCAAATCCCTCTTCTAAAGCAAGTAAATACATCAAGACTCTAGCTTTTGCTTACACCATTTCCATCCCTCATTAGCAGATATCAAATAACCATCTACATAGCAAATGACGTGGCTTAGAAACTGTCTATAAGATGCCCAGTACCATTTGCACACTTGTTTAGAGGAGAAGATGCAGCGAGCACTTATAGCCGTCCTCACCCTTTCTCTTGGGACAGGTAAGTGCAAGAGCATTTTAAAAAGTTTAACAAATTCTCATCTTGCCTGTGTGAAATGGGATTTTTCCTGTGCTAATGATGGTTCTCATACCCACCGCTCCGCATCATCTCTCTGTTGCTACCTATCCTTCCATGGGATAATCCTTTCCTGATGGGACGCGTTTTATTCTAGCAGGGGCAGATCCCAGGTACGTCTGCACCTACCACGATGTTATCAAGCACCTGAACATTTCCTCTTCCGACAAGCTGATTCCACATGTGCTGCCCAAGAGTAACTGGATGGAGCCCCTGGAAGTGAAGATGGATTTTATGCTCATAGCCATTCTCTCCGTGGTAAGGAAGCAAAAGCTGCTGCCGAGGTGTGATACGAGGAAGCTCGATGCAGTTTGGAGTTAGGCTGGATTTCTCCTATGGGGTCTGTGGGTACAGGAATCAGCCCCTGCCCTTTCCTCACCAGCCTTGTGCTGTGCGAGACATTTGGGAGGGTCTGGAATACTCCCCCCACCTGCTTCTGGGGAAAAAGCTTGGAAAAGAGCAGCCCGATTTATCCTGGGCTGTGGGAGCAAGCGGACCGAGTTCCTCAGCTCTTGGAAACAGCCACGAAACAAACCTTAACCGAGCAATTCAGGCAGGATTCAGTGTTTACCTGCCTGTGCCCTGCCTAAGACCACCTTTAAAAAAAAAAAAAAAAAAAAAAAAAAAAAAAAGAAAGAAAACCTTCATTCTCGTGCTCCCTGCTCTGTCAGCACCAGGATTTGCAGCTCTCCTCCTGAGCCGTCTCTACAGTCTGTGCAGCCCCCCAAGCAGTGGCAGCTTCCGAGCTCCACACGGCACTTACTAAGGAATCCAGCCCAGTAACCTCCATTCTGTTTCTTCCATTTCTGTTTCTTCTCTTCAGGTTGAAAAGCTGCAGACCGTCACTTTCTACTTCGTGCTGGGCTTGGTGGGTGCGGGAGCGCCGGCCCCCGCGCGGCGCCGCGGCCGAGCGCGGCCTCACCGCCCGCCCCCCATCTCTCCCCCAGGAATGGACCAACGCTCTGGTGACTTGGGACCCGCGGGACTTCTGCAACATTTCCAAGGTTGTCCTGCCCCTGGATACTTACTGGTCCCCCCCGCTCTTCATTCTGGAAGAGTAGGTTTGCATCTGGTTTTAATCCCCTGGCTTAAGAGCGGTGCAGTGGATGCAGCTGTTGGGGTATTGCCGGAAACGGGACCATCCCTGATGATTAATGCAATTCCCAGGAGTTAATGCCAGCTTACGGGAACAGGGGTGGCAGTTTAGGCACAGCACTTTGGGGCTCTGTAACGCTGCACCGTGTTCAGAAATGCCACATCTGGGCAAAAGCCGGGGAAGCAGAGACCAGCAGCGCAGCAAAGCTAAATTACCATCAGTAATTTAGGTGCAGAACAGACTGGCCTGGATCTGAGCGAAGGCTGGGAGCAGCCGCCGGCTCTTTGGGAGCAGGGGGAGGACAGGGAGGCCCCGCGGTCCCTGCCTTGCTGGCTGAGGCGCCTCGGTGCTCTCGACCCCTCCAACCCCGCAGGGTGGGCGAGCAGAAGGCGAGCAAGCTGCGGTACTCGGCGATCGCGCACGACGGCGGCTTCAACACCACGCTGCCCTTCCAGGTCACCGTCAGCTGCGGCCTCAAGATCCTCAGGTTTCCCTTCGACACCCAGACGTGCAACATTAGCGTGGGTTCGTTTCTGTACCCAGGTAGGGCGCGAGCGCCACCGGCCTGGGCGCGAGGTGGCCGCGTTCGCGCGAGGAGGCGGAGAGGAGCCGAGCCCCGGCGGCCACGCGGGCTCCTCAGCGGCACCAGGCGCCCGGGGACGTCGAGGTCACGTCGAGCCACGCGGGCCGCAGAGCGGGGCCCTTTGGCCCCTCTCCTTGCAATGTCACTGGAAGCATCGGGGTGTCCTCTAGCCACGTCCCTTCACTGGAGCCCTTCTAAATTGCTCTTGATAAGGGGTGATGTGAACCCCACTGGTGGAAGGACCGTTGCCTTTCCCCACCTACGCACATGGCAGGTTGGGAGGGAAAAGGAGGAAATAACCCACGTATCTCCACTGAAACCAAATTCAACCATGACCTGCAACCTCTCTCTTTCCCTCCTCTCTGCCCCACAGTCACGGACCTGGTCATGAGGATGAAACGGACCCCGGACGAGATGAAGAAAATCAGCCAGACCTACTTCCTGACCGACGGAGAATGGAAGTTCACCAACCTGAGCATCATCGAATCTACAGAAGATGTAGAAAATGGAGAGATTTGTGTGATGACCTATATGGTACAGCAGTGCTTTCATGTGGTATTGCACACGTCTGAAAAAAAGAAACTAGTGGATCTCGTATGCCGTCTTCTAAAAAAAAAAAAAAAAAAAAAAAAAGAGAGAGGACATTACCTGCAGATTAAAACATTTGTTTTGTTTTTAAATACAAGGGTCAGGACTAAATACAAGGGTCAGGACTAAGTAACACCCGCAAAGAGCTTTGTTCATCTGAAACATCTGAATAGTTTTGCAACTGAAAGAGATTTTCTCCCTCTGACCTGCAAAGTCATCCAGGGCTGTTCCTAGCTGGCACCACGAAGGCCAAGCCTGCAAACCCAGCCAGACCCAGGCGAGCCTTTTCCTCACCCCCAGCCCAGCACATTCATTGCAGGAGGGTCCCAATTGCCTTTCCCTAAAGGACACCCGCCCCCAAGGGTCAGTGCACTACATGGTCATGCTCAACGTTCAAGTAGCTGAGAGTAGATCCTGAATTAACGATTCAAACCTTTGATTCGTGCCCAGAACATCCAGACCAAAACAGAAGGCTCTTGAGGCTTTTATCTTTTACTTCCTTGAATTTTGCCCACCTTCTTCTGCAGATTTCCATGGAGAGACGACCCATCCTGTATGTGCTGAACCTGATCCTGCCGACGTGCGCCCTGTACCTGCTGGATATGGCCGTGCTGCTCGGGCCCAGCTCTCTGGAGGAAAAAGTCAATTTCCAGATCGCCATCATCCTCGGCAGCTCCATGCTGGCCGTGATTCTCAACAACATGCTCCCCACCTCCTCCAACGAGCCGCCCGTGATAGGTACTCGCCTTTACTGAATAGATCGTAATTGATCTTAATCAGATACCAACTTTAAGGTTGGGAGATAGTGGGGCCTTTACGGCCACGTTCATGAACGTTCAAGTCATGAACAGCCAAGGTTGGCAACTTCCTGGAGACCGAAATTCCCTCCTCCACCATCAGGCACCTGAGCACAGACAGTGCTATCAATTACAAGCTGATTATGCCAATTATGAAGAGCTTGCTTTGTTTTCATATTGTTTTGCAGTGGTGTTTTTCCTGGGCACCTTCCTGCTAATGGTCATGGCTGTGCTAGATACCCTGTTCCTGTTGCATCAGCAGCACAACGCAGGCAAGGCTACGAGGCGCGTCCAGAAAGGTAAAGCAAATAATAACCCCCTTTAATAAGCAAACCTGGTAGCTCAGGGCAACCAGTGCCCTAAACATCAGTCCTGGTACTCACCCCCGATGCCCCAATATCGACATTTGCTCTCTGTAGATGTGTGCGCTGAGAGAGCAAAGACGGACACGAGCAACCAGCCCACGAGGTACCTGGAAAAGGAGCGTCCGGAACGGCTCGACCTGCCCGAGCGCCAGGAAAGAGGCCACCAGAGCTGGTGCCGCTGCGCGCCCCGGGAGCGGGACCCCGTCCTGCCGCTCCTGGAGAAAGTGCTGCTCTACGGCCACTTCGTCCTCTCCCTGCTGTTCTTCACTGTTGTTTTTATAAAGTGGAGCAGTTAGAGCCCAGCGCTCCGCCCTGCTCACTCAGTTTGCCTCTGGTTTATTGCTCCTGTTCTCTCTGCTGCACTTTTTTTCCTGCTTGCTTCATAGAGCTCCAGCTGGTGTAGTTGCCTAAATTAAGAAAAACAGGCCCTAGAACCTGCAGGGTAGGTGCTCTGTACTCTAGTTCAGTAAAACTATATATACTCTTAAAGCATGTAAAGCTAGCAAGGTTTTTGAATAAAAGAATGGAGGAATTAAAGGAAAAAACTCTCATTCTGTCTGCTAGGAATTCTTACCACCACTGTGATTACTTGTCCCATAAGATAACTGGAAAGGAAGTTAAGACAGTTCTTCTCCAATATAAACGTTTCAGCTTGGGGAAAGGTGTTGCAGCAATCCATCTATTGGAAATAAATAAATACAGCGATGCAGGCCTGCAGCATTTGCCCTATTGCTTCTGAGAGTTTCAGTGAGATCCACATCATCCAAAGTCCAGGACAGAGAACCAGAACATCAACATTAAAAGGGTAAAAACAAAAATTAAATAATAAAATGAATAAACTTCAGAATCAACACAACTCAAGATCTCTCGACTCCTTCAGTGTTTCTAACGTTTGTATGCTGTTTTTACAAATAAAGAACTCACTTTGCAGTAGGTTGCACCTAACCCACCACAAGTCCCTGCAGAACTGCTTGTAAAACCACTGACTCCCTACTGCGCTAGGTCGCTGCTAAACACAGCCCAGCCTCACCAAAGGCAGGGCAAGCCCATCCTCTGAACAACTTAATCATCTGCAGAGGCCGAGTAACCCCATTCCCTGTGCTGGGTTGTTACAGGAGTGAACAGATGGTTTATCTACATTAATGTTGTGGGACTCACATTTATTATCAAGTTAGCTGGGATTTTGATTCCTGCTATAAAAGCAAGCCCACAAAGACCAAGAAAACAAGCTTCTTGTGAATATACTATGAATATATATATTGCTCCATATATCTCAAATCCTTGCAACCCCATAACTAAGATCTAACCCATCAGCCAGGAGGGAAAATATTTTATTTAAAAGATTCTAGAATCCAGCAGTCATTAGATAAACTGCTGTAGAGAAAGGGACATCTTCACAGATCCGCAATCGGTTTGTGTGGCCAGTACGGATACTTCTCCTTGTCCAGTCTGGTTTCAGGGAAGACTTCGTGCAGGTCCTCAAACGTCATCTGCTCAAAGGGAATCATGTTCCTGAACTTCTGCAGCTAGAAGCGGGAGCGGAGACAAACACGTTACAGGCAGTTGTCAGCAAGCAAGAGCTCAACACAAGTAAGAAGAAGGTCTTTGCCCAGCTAGTTAAAGGGGATATTCACTGAGCAAAGTCCAGACTTACCTCCTGCTCGTACTGGGCAATACGAGCTTTGGAGGCCTGCACATACTCAGCACTGCTCTTTGCCTGCAGGAAAGCAGAAGCCACAGTGAAAATGCTTATGTTAAAGACAAGGAGCTGCAATCAACCTGCCACCCCCTGCCCTGTTCCTTGCCTTAATTCTGCATCTTTTTGATATATTTACATCAGAAATTAGGCAGAATCAAACACCAAATGATCAAACCTTTCCAAAGGCAGAGATTCTGCTGCTAAGCCAAAAACCAGTGCCGTGTACAAAGACTGGAGACAGGCTCTGCCTCATCCTGCCCTGCCTTCCAAAAGGGGATGCAATGACAGGAAATACCTTCCCTCTCAGCCCTTCCCGACTTCGCCAAAGACAGCCCAGCATTAGGGAACAGCTTAACCACTTACAGCTTCCTTTTCTTGGGCATCAACCTTGGCAGTTTGTGTGTCCACTGGCTCAGGAACCTTCAGTGCACTGAACTGTAATTTGAAAGAGAAATTTCCAAACAGTTTTGCTTAAGTGAAATAATCCATAGAGTCCAAAATGAAAAACATATCATATCACAGAATTCTTTGTCCTTAAGACAAGGCGCCAGGCCCATCTGAGGGCAGTGAGTCCTTCCAGCCTCACGGGAGCCAATTCTCAGGCTGCTGAGGGCACCCTGTGACTGTCAGCAAGAGCCTCGATCGCTCTTTTCAACTCCTGTTTACAGAGGAGGGTGCCCCTAGAGGCCTCGTTGGTTTTAGGCACTTCGCAGTGCGCAGAAACATGTTTGTGACCTTTTCCCATTCACCGTGTTAGACAAATACTTTAAATATTTGCTTCAGGACAGGCAGTCATCCAGTTTCCTCCCGCACCCCCATGAGCTCCCCGCTGTGCCGCAGGATCCGCCCCGAGGCTGCTCCCTCGGAGGGGCACAACGCGGAGCGGGGCGGCAAGGAGCTCGGGAAGGGGCCGGCGCCGCGCTCACCTTCTTCTGGAAGTCGTCCACCATGCCGGCCTTGGCCACGGCAGCCTTGTAATAGGCCCAGTCGATGGCCGGGGGCTTCTCGGGCAGGGCGGCCAGGCTGCGAGGAGAAAGGAGAGCGATCACCACCATAACCTTTCAGAGCCCCCTTCCCTCCGCGCCCCCGAGCCTCCACAGAGCCTAACTGAACTGCAACCCCCCCAGCCCTGAAAGGCTTCTTTAACTAAATAAAAACAAGAGGAATTCAGCCTGCAGCCCTGCTCTGCTTCCAAGCAGCAGTGACCAGAGCATCTCTCAGTAGAGCCCTACAAGGACCGAGGGGGCAGCTCTCAAAGCTCTGAATTAGAAGCATCAGGCAACGTCAGCTGCAGTCACCAGCAGCATTTAGGGCAGGCAAGCCAGGAGGCTCATTCACTTCCGCACCTCCGCGGCACACAAAGTTCCTAACAGCTTCTCCTGCCACGCCAGAGCCCTGCTGATCCCCCGGGGCTGCTTTTCCCCATTGCAGCAGGCGGAGCGAAGAGGCTGCGCCGGGGCTGCTCGGACGGCTCCGGGCGCGGGGCTGGGGCACGCGTGCACGGGCGCTCACCGGGCCGACAGGGCGTCGCTGCGGGTCTTGAGCGCGTTGAACATGGCCCGCTGGTTGGGGGGCACCCGCTCCGAGAAGGCGGCCCAGTCGATGGCCTTGAGAGCGGCTCTGCGGCCTGCCATGGCGCCGGGCTGCGGGCACGGCGGTCAGCGGGGGCGGGCCCCGGGGGGCCCCGATGACCATGAGGAGCCGCCCCGATACCCCCGGGAGCCCCTCGAGACCCCCGGGGAGCCCCTCGAGACCCCCGGGAGCCCCTCGAGACCCCCGGGGAGCCCCTCCCCGGCCCC